GAGAAATATCACCCGACTCTGCAGCTGCCCCCAGCTAGCGTCTTTCAGCTAATTTCCAGCTCACAGCTCTCCTTTGTAGCTCTGATTTTGATCTCTACCAATTCCTGTGGGAAATATCTGGCTCTCTTAGCTGCTAAATCCTCCACTTTCATCACCAGCTAAATGCTAACTGTGTCTGTCTGCTGTTTGGTGCTAGGCAGGTATAGAGCACAGTGGGTTTTCAAAGCTGTTTTTTTTCTGCCAGCTGTGTCTGAAAACAACACTATGAGAGGTGAAAATGAACCAAAATAGTACTGTTGTAGGCCGTAAAAACCAAAACAAGATTAAAGCTGCAATAATAGCTTGCATAACCGCAAGAGTTAGGCGATAGTTCTCTGTGGCTTTGTTACTACATGCAACCCCATTCCCATACGAGTAATTTGTTTATAGGCAAATATTAATTATGGACACTTTAAATATCTGGCATGAAGTAAAATCATAATCATCTGGTTCTATTCTTAATGCACGTTTGTATGTAAAGGAAATGAATGGTGAGTTTTTTGCAGGTACTATTTGCTTTGGTGAAATTCCTTTGGCATTGATGTGGTGGGAAATTTAACAAGAATAACCTGAGTGTGAAGTCTGTGTGTGAAGTGCTCTGCGTTCTCCTAAAATATTACATATTTTACCTCTGGGCCAACATCGAATCTACAGCTCCCTTTTTGAAGTGTCAAAATGTGTTTGTCTGCCATTCAGTCTCGCCATTCACCGACTCACCTGCAGCAAACTGAAATTGACCATTTAAGGCTTGGAAGAAACCGTTGGACAGACGAGGGGGAAATATTCATACAACAGCTGACCTTTTCTATTTACCACAGGGATGCTTAACCTGGGAAACATGTACCTGGTCTGAGACTGACGCGCAAATTACTCAAAGGTCATGTTATTCAGCTCGTCAAAGAGGCGACCATGATAGCATCACTGAAAGGGAGAAAGAGAGAAAAACTATTTTTGCCGTCACCCATGCTGCTCCGAGTGCAGAGACACTTGTTTTTGGCGCTTTTCGGCATTTAGTTTATCTTTATGTCGTCAAAAAAAATACTGTATTGTCCAAAGCCACGAGATTACAATTAACTGAGAATCCACACACTGTTCTCTGGCAGCAGATTGTTTACTTGTTTGTCGGGTGCATGTGTGTGCCAGTTCTTCGTTGTTGAACCGAGCCAATTTGTGTGTGTGTGTGTGTGTGTGCCTTTGCACTGTGTCAGGGGGAATAGTCTGTTGGGGTTATGGAGGGTGCAGTTTGGGGTGATGAATAGGATGCTTTTGTGCTCAGTCTCTCAACTGTCTGCAAACCAGTGAAGGAGAGAATAGTGAGAGAGAGCAAAGGGGGGGATGAGGTGAGGGAGATAGCCGGATGAAGAAGGGAGATAAAATGGGGGAGGGGGGGGTGAGAGAGACACTGTAGGGTGGGGAGCACAGGTGAGACGTGAGGTGAGAGAATGGGTGGAGAGGTGAGGAAGAGGAGGGGAATGTGAGAGAGGGAGAGAGAGACTACTTGTGCATTCAAGAACACTGCACCGTTGTCTCTTCAGCCAACAAAGAGACAAAGAGGTTGGCTAATGTAGGAAATCGTTGCCATTCACGTCAGTGGAAAAAAGAAAACAAATGTGCCAGTAAAAAAAAAAAAAAAAAAAACTGAAGAGAAAGTGCCCCACCTGGTAGTTTTGATCACTCGGAAGAACACAGACCTGACCTCGTGGCCTCAACCTTCACACTTGATGGGGTTTGGAAATGAGCCAATCATATTGACAGATGCTGATGAGTTCAGGCAAAGCTGTTGGTCTGGCCACTTTAATATCGCATAAGGAGAACCATTCAACTGTACCACTTTCGAATAAAAAATAATGTATAATGCATTTTAAATGGCACAGCATTAGAATAGTGGGTGGGAGCACTAGAAGGTCAACTGTGATGCAAAGTCTTGATATGTGATATTTGAAAGACCTTTAAAGCACTAAAAAAAAAAAAAACATTAAAAAACCATCACATGAGGTGGAAAACACCCAGGACCTTTCTGTCCTAAAACTGAGAAGGTTCAACCTGACAGGTAGGGCTGAGTTTCAACTCTTTTATGACTTACTTTTATGAAATGTGTCGGTAGAGCTTAATATCAAAAAACCGTCAGAAAACTGAAAGCTTGCATCTAAAGCTCAGTTTTCTCCTGTTGTAAATGGAATGTCTCTGGGTTTTAGACTGTTGATGGGCAAGACGGGTGACTTGAAGATCACCTTGGGCTTTAAGATATTGTGTCCATTTTATAAAGCAAACAATGAATCAATTAATAAATGAAAAGCAAATAATTAATCAGCCGATTAATCTGTAAATCAAATAATCGATGGTTCCAGCTCTACTGGCATCACATTTCTGATCTTCTTTACTCTTCCTTTGAAGAGAGAGTCTAAAATTCCCAAAATTATTCTGGTTCAATTAAGGAACTGTTTTTGATTTAGGCGACATGCCTATATTAAACATTCAAGAACTTCTATTTCAGAGCTGAATGGATTAATCAATATGTTGATCCGTAGAGAGATGGAAAATTCATCTGCAACACATTTGATCACATGATGATAACTAAGCAAAAATGCCAAAAAATACACTGGTTTCAGAGTGTCAAATGTGAAGATTTGCCCTTTTATATAAGAGTATATTTCATTATTTTATGGTATTGGACTGTTTTTTTGGATACAACAAACAATATGAAGATGTCACACTGGGATGTGGGAACTTTTGGTGGTAAATCTTCTCTTTCTTTGCTTATAGATCAAAAGATGTAATCAATAACACATTATAATAGATTAATAGTTAATGAAAATAATCTTTAGTTATGGCTCTTTTTTGCTCAGTAGGAATGAATAAATCTTATATTTCTATAAGTATGATATGTTAAACTTTAATCGGCCCCCAGCGGCATGATGGACCGCTGGATGGAGGTCTACAGTATGCTGTACGTTTGGCTGCATTTTAGTGATGAGCAATCCTATGAAGCAAAGAGGCCTGTGCATCTCCGTATCCATGAATCTGAGTCTCCTTCTGTTATGACTCTCTGTTCAGCATATCAAGTGTCTCTTTGCACCCATAAACAATATTTAGCTGTTGAGACAAAGATGAAATAAAGTCAAATTGGCTGTTTGAGATCACGCTACAGAATAGCACTCACAACTCTAAATATCATCCCCGTTGTTCCAGATGTGTATTTTTTTCTCCAGTGAGCCCACGCATGGTTCACACATTTGGATTTTCATCTCCCTCGAAACACTTGAAATTAAGCCATTTAGCAATGATGAGGAAAAAAAAAAACAGGAATAATCACAGCGATGTACTCTATTGGTGCCTGTTGATTCAGGCACACAAACAACCTTATTCCTGCTCTATTTTTGTTGTTTGAATGAGTATCTGCCTGGAATAACTAACCCTAGCGTGGCCAGATAAATACTTTCTGTCTTCCCACACCAGGGTCCTCTGAGGCCATCGCAGCGTGGCTTTTTCTATGATGAAACGGCAGCGAGCGGTGGAGGGCTGAGGGAGTGGGCGATCAGGACACAAACTGTTATTCTCCACAAACGGCAGCATGAGATGTGGAGCTGGCAGAGATATGGCATCCATATACCTCCAGCACAGCCAACGCAGCGTGCATCCTCGGTTGCTTTTTTGCAAAGTCAAACACGCGCACACTCCCGCTTTCTCTGAATGCATCTAGCTAACAGCATACGCAAGATGTAAATAAACCCGAGCCAACTGTATGTGAGCAAACTAATTAGCATGTTAACAACAACAAACGTCTTGCGCTTTCATTTGTCACATCGCGCTTGTGTTGTGCAAGTTCCTTTTATAGGGGTGGTAAAGGTTGCTCTTACTCGACGACAATTACTCTTGAACAGCAATCAAAGACAACCTTGAATGCAGCCAACAATAGTGGAATAATGTTGATGAAGCCAGGTGATGATGTGAGGAGGCAGACATCATTAGCCTCCATCATCACACTTCATCAAAAGGAGAGGGAGTGTGCCCCGCTCTGTTGGCGTAATGAGCTGGAAGCATGAACAAAAGCAGATGGCTTTATGAGTCAGACAATAAGGCGCTCGTGATTGAATATATATCATTCATTTCACTTTAAGCAGTCTAGCCATTCCCCCCCCCGTGCTGTACCTCAATGGAAATCCATTATCAAGGCATAGGGCTGCCCATCACACCAAAATCAGCTGGATTTCAATGAGACTCCTCAGTGCTGGGAATAATTCATCATTACTGAAAAGAGAGTTAGAGTACAGTACGGCTCTGACCGGTAATAGGCTGATGACAATGTGTATAGTGATGAATGGCATTCCCGGAATTCTTATTATGTTGTACATCCTAATCCATAAAGCACGGTGTTAATTGGCCCTGTGCCTCATGATGGAGACATAGCCTGTTGTGCTCAAATGTAAGTGACCTTATTCGAGTCAGTTATGGTGTACTACTTTTACAAAGTATCTCAGTTAGCTTGATCTCATAGCATTCTTAGATCCTTAAGATTGGTAGTTTACCCCCTTTTTCTCTGATGTAACAACAGCTCCGGTTGAAAAGCGTGTTATCTGTTTGTGAGAAAACTACAACAAACTGCAACAATGTTCTCAATGAAAATAAAGTCACTGGCATGGAGGTTGATCATAAAGGTGGGAAATGTGATTTACAACTACATCCACATGACACCAGCCGTCAATCACGTGGACTTTACCAACATCTCAGTATGTGCAGAAGAAGTATGTTTTTTTGCACAATGAAACTGAGAGAAACTTGGCCGCTGCTCGCGCTGCTCTAATCTCTTTCCTCTTGAAGAGCTCGCAGCAGGACGGCTGCCTATGGAGCAATTAAAGCCTCTTTCTTAATCCAGCCGCCCCTGATGCTTAAAGACGGCAAACAACTGGAACTCCTCCTCCTCCTCCTCCACGGGGCTAGACAGCAAGTGCAACAGTACTCACCCCCAGTTTCTTACTCCGTATCCTCACGTATCCCTGTTTGACTATGTCGTTGAAGTTGGAAGCCATGGTGAGGGGAAGCGGGTGGCTTCCTGCTCGAGGTGAAAAATAATAACAAAGTAGCCTCTTTTTTTTTTTTTTTTTTTTTTTTGCGGGCAGCGAAAATATGTTACTTGAGGGTCGGTCGGTGAGACATCCAGCGGCAGGAGAGCGGGCGGTGGGCAACCTGCTCCTGTGTCAGCGCTCAGGCTGCCCGGCTTCAGCGGCGCGATCCATCCGCGCGAGAGGAGGGAGATACCATTCCTCAGCTGATACCATTCGTCAGCTGATTCACTTCAGCCGGAGAGGAGAGCAGAGGAGGAGAGCGCAGGAGAGGCGCGCTTCCTGGACCACACCATCCCCGAAACAGTGAGGGGGGTGGGGGATAACTGCTGTGCAGGGAGAGAGGGAGTAGGCATGTCTTTAATTCAAGCGGGGATACTGATTTTTCAAAATATTTTTTTGCACCATTGTTGACTTATTACTCTAAAATGGGGAGAAGGGCCTACTGTAGCGGATCACCATTAATTCCCCCATTTTTTTTCAAGGATTTTTTGTTTATTAGGGTTGCCTATGCATTTAGTCGTCCAAATAAGGCCTACTCCAAAATTTGTCATTTGTTTTTATTACAGATGTCACAATGGATAAATACAACAATTAATAGATCACTAGTGAAAATAAAATCAGCAAATCAATATTATAGTATCAACAATGAAAATAACCATTAATTGAAGCCCTACTATGTTTAGACACCAGGCATATAGGTGGTGACTATATGTTATATGACTATATATAATGTTCTTCCATAACCTATACAGGCTACTGTGTTCTGGCAGGTGTGGTCATATTGATCACTAAAATAAAAAAGCTCAAGGTCAAGATTAATGTAATTTGTAACACTCAACATGTTCTATAAGACTATTTGTTTAGTGAATTTCAAATGTGACGTTTCGAGTAACCATTCAACTTCCGCCCCCCTCCATATGTTCAAAGACAATATGCAAATGTACTAGTCTAGTGTTAAAACTAATTTGCGAAACAGTTTTTTACATTGCTATTCGGTCGTTATTAACTGTCTGAGTATGAATATCATTTCCATATTTTCCACTAGACAGCCCGCTAATAAGGAAATACAATTGCCAGTGTGTGAGCACCGTGTTTTGTCATTATTAGGTGGCCTTGACGTGACTTGATGTTGTTTGGTTTGTTGAATAATAAAACCTGCTTGGCCAGTAAAGGATCAAATAAATTGTAAGCGAACCAGACTGTACTAAGCATATACAGCCACCGCCTGCAGCTTGTATATTGTTGATACAATGCTGCAGATTGGCAATCAAAAATCTCTGAAAATAAGAGCACAGAAACACACTTTGATCCCTGCCAACGCTATAATCCCGATCGGGATGTAGTGAGAGGCGTAACTCCGGTTGTGCGATCGCAGAGAGTGAAATCCTTGGTATAGGGAGCAGATGGCTCAGGTATATTGATATGAGGGTCTACCATTACTTATGTTGATTAAAATGTGGAGAAGAGAGATGGCTTATGTTACAGAGTTGTATCAACAACTGATCACTTCAGGAATAATTCTTCCTTTATTTTTCACTCTTTGATCTAACAGGAAAGCACCATAAATGAATGCGTCAGTATCAGAAAACAAATAAATGAGGACACAAATATTTTTATCTCTCCTAGCTCTGCACAATTACCCTATTGCTCACACTAATGTATTATTTGTTGTGTTGCACTGAGAGAAAATGTCATCCGCTGAGAAACAGTGGGGCTTTGTTCAGCGCATGTAGATGGCTGCCGCTCTCTGACGTGCTGTTCTGTCAAGTGTCAGTTTTTGAATGCAGAGGTAAAAACTCAATGACTGTATTTTCTGTCCTGTCTGTTCATCACATTCAGCGAGCTGCCGCCCCTCCGACAAACAGCTTGACTTTGATAGTTTTCATCTCTCCGCGGAAGTGTCCTCAAATTTCAGACTTGCCAAAGTTGTTTTGTCTTCATAATCCTCTTTGTACAACATGGCCCCGTTCCATTCACGCTGCCTTGTCATCCTCCCTGTACGAAACCAATGCTGACAGCGACAATGTCTTTTGATTGCACTAAATACTGTGCTCTGTGTCACAATTGTGTCATTACGCAGAGCTGTCCTAGTTTTGGTGGGGAAGTAATTGCCTGCTGTGGTACAAGACCGACAACCGGTTTTGGCCTCAGTTGGTCGCAGGTAGAGAGGCTCAGCGTGCAGGGCCACCTCACAAACCAACATATGGCCCCGACATACATGAGCGGCCGCCAACAGGGTCAAATGTGTGGAGAGTCACTCAAGAGCAGAGGGACCTTCATCAAGGTGAGGAGCAAAGCAGCCGATATCTGCTGAGCTGCGGAAAACAACTCCTCTCCAATACGGGCAATTTATCAGGTATTGACCTCATAATCATCGCCATTTTTCAGAGACGTTCCGCATCACATATCCAAGTCCCTCCACGTCTCTGATGATTAATACCGGGAAGACCGAGCTGCTCATAGAGAAACCATATCATCCATTAAAAGCACTTAAGCGTTCCAAAACAAGTACCCCTGAATAGTTTATTTCGTCACAGCAGAGCAAACTTTAGATGGTTTTGATGGTCTGGTGAAATACTAAAATTTCCTTTTGCATTAGATGCTTAGTTTTGTCTCAGTGCTATTTGGCGAACATTCACAAGCACAAGCAGCTAAATAATTAACACATTCTAAAAAGATAAGCAGGGGGGGAATGAGGTGGGAGAGAGAGAGAGAGAGAGAGAGAGAGAGAGAGAGAGAGAGAG